GCCGCTGCCGGCGGTGGAGTGACGGGAGAGCACTGGGGAGCGGCGGGCGGGCAGGCGGCTCTGGATACCCCTGGGCAGCCGGGAGAAGGCGCTGGAGATCCGAGCGCTTTCTCTGCGTCTTCTCAGGTTCCCGTTGTTTCCATCTTTCTTAACTTCGTTGCTTTCCTCTCACTCTAGGTGAGGGCCCTGGAGAAATCAAACCCGATTTTCAGGAACGGAATTTTGACAGTGAAACGTAAACATTTCCCTGGTCTTCTTAAAGTTGCAGACTCATTTGGCAACTGGAGGCAGACAAGTGTAAGTAAAAGACAGTGTTTCAGAAAAGGAAGGTGTAGAGAAGCCCTTTGAAAAAACAGCAGACTGAAGGCTCTTTTTAGATTGTGTCTCAACTCCTCCGGAATGGAAGGTACAGTGCAGAGCTCCGCCCCTCTCCAGTGTCTGGTACGTCAAAAATCTTCAGTATTTATTGGATAAATGAAAGGAACTGTATATAAAAGAGCGGGGGTGCCGGGTGAAGTGTGGCGATCGTCCATGTCCTGTATTGGATAAACCACCTTATTTTTTCCAAAGGATGGCGGATCTCACTCTTCTCTGAAGCTCCATTTTGTCAAACTGCATTCGTTCAACAGATATTTATTGAGTGCATATCTGGGCAGGGATGACTGTGGTCCCTGGGGAGAGAGACGTGGTAAAAGTCCCTGCCACTCAGGGAGTCTACATTTTATTAAGACATAAAACGTGAACAACTCCATAAAGTTTAGAAAGTGGGAAGTGCCGTGTAGAACATGAAACAAGCTAATGGGATGAAGTGTAACTGGGACAGGCGTGCACGGTGAAGGAGGCAAGAGGCACGTTAGCCAGGTGACCAGGGAGGGCCTCTCTGAGAAGGTGAAATTAAAACCTGAGTGTGAGAAGGGGGCGGGGACGTGGACCCAGTGGAGGGAACAGCGTCTGCAGAGGCCCTGAGGCAGAGCAGGTTTGTTGTTGAGAAACAGGCAGTATCCTTTGCCTGGAGAATAGGAATGGGGGAGGAATGGTGTGAGATGAGGTCAGGAACTTAGGAAAGGCCAGATCATGGCGGGCCTTGTAATTAGGGAAAGTGATTTGAACTTTTTTCTAATGGTGGTGGAAAGAGGAGGATTTTAAGCAAGATAGGGATCTGTATCAGTCAGACTGCTGCACAGGAAACAGTTAACAGTTGGGAGGCTGTTAATTACAGGGAGAGGGCTGAGGATGGCTTGGGCTTGGGTGGTGCCAGTAAAGATGGTGAGAGAAGAGGTTGGACTTGGGATACATTTGGGGGCACAGAGACTTGCGGGTGAGTTGAATGTATGTTGTGAGAAGAGAGCAATCAAGGACTCCTGGGTCTTTGGTTAGGTCTTTGGTCTAAGCAGTGCTGCGTATGATGGGACATAAACTTAGGTGGGCAAGTCTGGCGATGCTAAATTTTGATGAAGGGAGAATCAAGAGTTGTTTTCCACATTGTGTTTGAGATGTGCATTACACATCCAAGTGGAGTTGTCAGGTAGGCAATTGGATTTCCCAGTATGGAACTTAGGGGAGGAGCCAGGAATGGTGATACAGCTTACATTTGGGAGTTGTCGCAGTCTATATGGAGTTTACAATGATGGGTGAAATGGTGTCAACGAGGGAGTGCAGATAGGGAGAAAAGGGCCGAAGGCCAAGATTTGGGGGACATGGAGATTTGGATGTTGGGCAGAGAGCCAAGCAAAGAATAAGGAGCAGTACGTAAGGTTGAGAGAAAACCAGAAGAGTGTGGGGTCATGGAAGCTAGATAATAGAGTATTTCAAGAAGAGAGCTGGCAACTGTATCAAATGCTGGTGACAAGCAGACTAAGGCAAGGGCAGAGAATTTCCTGTTGGGTTTTGCCAAGATGGTGACCTTGGTTAAAGAGGTCTCAATAATGTGGACTGAAGAGAAAGTGGGACGTGAGGCAGTGGCTTTAGGGAGCTGTAGGGCGGAATTTTGCTGTGACGGGCTACACGCAAGTATTTATTTGCTGGCGGGAGGGACGTGGGGATCACTATTAAGGTCTGTCGGATGGGGTGACCCAATGAGGGAGAAGTGAATGAGGCAGGACAGAAGAGCTGCAGAGGAGGGAATTGCGGGAGCGAAATCCTTTATTAGGCTGGGGATCCAAAGCCTTGGCCAGAGGCAGGTGCTTCTGTTCACGGGATTGTCTGTGATCTTGACAGTATCAAGACACGTTGATTTTTAAATGCACTTAGCTTGCTATTTAAAGGATGAGAAAAAAACCCAATTATTTTCTAATGATTATGCCATAATTGGTTTATTTAGTAAATTCTAGTTTTACACATTGAGTTTTTTGGTAGTATGAAAGGCAGCTCAGTTGTAAATAAGGATGCTTATGTTTAAATGCACTAAGCGGTCTGGTCAATTTTAAAGCAAACAATTAATCCTCACTCAAAACCAATAAAAAAAAATCACCATACTTTAAAAAACATTTTATTAGTGATGCAAATATAGAATTATCATGTAGGAGGCACAACTCATTAGAAAACACAAGTGGAATTTGCCCCCATGCTGTGACTGAAATTGTGGCCGTGAAGGCAAATGTTCATAAACGTCCCATTTCTCCTTCAAGTGACAGGGAGGACTGCGTTCCCACCACCTCTGAGGCTAGGCCTGCTCGTGTGACTTGCCTTGGCCAGTGAAATATGAGCAGAGCTCACAGAGCTGGCTCCACTTCCAGGCGGAAGCTCTGCGAGCCAGCGCACAATTCCTGCTGTTCCTTCCTGCGGCAGCGATCACCTGAAAGGAACGTGTACAGGAAGCCCCTCCCGGAGGGACTGAGGAGAGCCTTCCTGCCCACTGGCATTGGACATGTAGCACAAGCCAGGAAAAAGCTTTAAGCCACTGAGACTTGGGGGATGTTTGTTACATATCATATCCTGAGTGATATATAGGTGAGCAAAAATATCAGCAAGTCCAGTGGACTCATCTAGCGTGGACCCTGAGTGGGTGATGGGCCATTCTCTGGAATGGACACCATTAATGATAGGAAGAGGAGCACGAGGCAGGAGAATGCTTAATTCTGTTTGGTGCACGTTGAATTTGAGAGGCTCTTGTCCAATAGGCCAGGAATCATCAGTAGATTAATGAATGGAGATTTCACAGGAATGGATAAGATCGCCCAGAGAGAGTATGTAGAATGGAAAGAGAAGCTGGTTGAGGACCCAGCCCTAAGGAACCCTGACATTTAAGCGAGGGGCAGAGAAAGAGGAGCCCATTTATGGTAGATTTTCTTTCAAAATCTTGAAAATGGCACCAAAAGTTCATATAGATTTCATTATATAAAGGTGCTGGACAAAGGGCACAGTTCTACAATTAGTGCTTTTCCAGGACACGATAGCATGTCAGACAAGAAAAGCAGTCAGCATCTATGCAAGGCAATGGAAACAAGTGAAACTCTCCTCTCCCAACGGGATTTCATAGAAAAACTGGCATTTTACTGAAAATATAAGCAAAAGTCTACTTCTACCCATATTATATCGTTCCCTAGGGGCTGTAGAATAAGAGTGGGAGTATAGTTAAGGGGAAGGATATGCAGAATCAAAACAAGAGCCATGTGTCTGGAGATGTCCCCCACCCATCCAAATTCTCCTGCTCATGTTCCACGCAGACAGCTGCCTATTCTGCCACATACACGGCCCGCTCTGCATGTCACTTTTGAAAGCCCATATATTTAAGAAACTCAAACGCCAAATCCTGAACATTTTGGTAATCATGAGAAAAGCAGTTCCCCACTCATCTCCTATACTGAAAAGCACTTTTCACAAGGGGAGTGGTTTGCTTCTGTTGACTAGGGTACGGGGAAATGCTGGGTACGGGAAACGCGAGTGCTCAGGGCAGGGACAGGTGAGGAAGGAGGTGAGAAGGTGGAGTTTGGGGGTTTCTGAGAAGTGGCAGGGGAGCAGCAAGCAGTGCCATTTGAGGACTTGGACCAGGCGCAGCTCTTCCTCCACAAGCAACACGGGTATAAGTGATGTTTATAAACACTTTATTCAGTTCATTATAGGGGCAAGTTCCCAGCTAAATGCACAGAGACAAGCGAGGTATTCCTGGGTTAATGCAGGAGTCAGTGGGTTACATGGGGCTGAGCATCGAGGCCAAGGAGAGAGCACCAAGGTTTCAGAGTCAGACCCGGCCAGAGACCCTGAGCTGAGAGTGGGCTAATGTCCCGACACTGATGGCTGCTTTCTTCTCACAGCTGGGCATATACTGCACGGCATGTCTCCAACATTACTTCCTCTCAGTGATATCAGGGGCACAGCTATTAAAGAAATGGAACCTGTGTCCTGGTGCACTCAACTGTTTTGCTTTGTAAGTCACATACTAGCATGTGAACAAGAATTTTAGAGTATTCCAGTAACAGTGGGCCACAGAGTGGTAAAACCTCTGTGTGTCTCCCTCAGTGCCTCCTTGCCTGTCTTCATTCCTACCTGAACTCCCATCCTTAAGCCACATGCCCTGATGGTGAAAGTCGCATGTACCCAACAAAAGTCTCTCAGATGACAACAGCTATTCCCAAAGCATCATCCCGTAGACAGTCTGTGACAGCGAAGAGAGAGTGTGGCTCTGATGAGCTGTCCTCTGTGGAAAGAGTCATCCACTCCGACCAATGCCTAACTGAAAGCATAACTCAGAACACAGATTTAGGAAGTGGAATATGGATAAAAATTGAAAACAAACTCCACAAGTTATAGTCTATGGGGACTGGGTCAGATAACGCCCAGTCACAGGTCTCACTTGAAGGCTACAGAATTGTTGCTCACATAATTATTAGAAACATACTGGGGTCCACAGCTGACACATCTGCCAACTGCTGGGTAACACTGTCTACTGGTGTGAGATGGTCAGAGTCTAGCTCAAACCTTCTCCAACCCCTGGGGAAAATGCTGAATCGGAAGGGGAATCACACCACCTCCAGCATTTCAAAGGCAAGAAAGGCCTGTCAAGACGTAGAAGGCTCACACACACCATCACAGTGTTAATTCTGAAGGGCACCTTCAGTTCCATTTGTCACTTTTCTAAATTTATCTGTCAGGAACAAACTTAAGGCCATTTTACCGGCATTTAACTTTTTGGCAAAATAAAAACTTTGGTCACAGCCATAGTTCTATAAAAATGTTTTAAAGAGGTTATTATTTCTGATTAAAATAATATTTTTGGCAAGTGATACATAACAACAACAAGAAAGTAAACATCTTCATATCTAATGTAAGAGCAAAAACTCTTTACCAACATCTTATTTTAAATACAGCGAAAGAGTCAGTAGTGCTTATAAACAGTATAGGTTTCTCTTACAGGGAATCAGAAAAAGCAAAATAAGGCACAGCCTGATATTGTCACAGATTTGTGTTAGGCAGTAGTGTTCTTTCTGGAAGGCACAAATTGGAAATCTGAAAGGTTTAAACTATGGTTCTGAGGATAACGTCATATTGACAAGGACAGCTAACGTGGAACAAATTCCCTTCACTGGAATTAACGGCAATTAATCAGACAATGTTACTGCTAGGTTATAACACTCTGGAACTTAAGAAGTCCTCTTCATCAGCCCCTATATAAATTTGTAAAGGCACTGTGCAAAATGCGAGCTGGGCTGACTACACTTCTGGTTTGGAGTGCATATTAAAAAACAAAGGCACATTTCCTAGAAATCAAACTTGACATTAACTAACAGAAAAGAATCATTTTAGATATAACAGTAGGTAAGCTTGATAATGTAGCAGGTTCTAAGTCAAAGTCTTGAAGAGGTTTCTTGAACAGCAGGCTGGAGTTCCACTGGTTCTTCATTAAGAAAGACTCCACACTAATAACAGCAGGGAAAGCAGGGAAAACAGCAGTTTAGTCTTCAGTGCAAATCCAGAATTAATTCGAACGCTGCAGTCTAAATGTGAACAGAAATGCAATCTGGCCAATGTCCAACTAGTGGCTTCTCCACATTCTGTAGAGGACTAGAGGAGTCTGTTAAGAGGAAGGACTGAAGACATGTTTCTTTAAATAGTTCTCATGTACTGGGCTAAAAATGGCAATGGGTTGTTCCAATATTGTATAGAGCAGTGGTAGTAATAATAGTAATCATAGTTGTGTGTGTGTGTTTATTTATTCACTTATATAACTATTATTATTATATGCCAGTCACCATCCTAAGCACTTTTTATATATTAACCTTAGTTTCGTCCTCATAACAAACATGTGACGTAGGTACTATTGTTATCCCCATTTTACAAATGAGGAAACTGAGGTTCAGAGATATTAAATTGCTTGCCCAAGGCACACAGCTGGATGGTGGTGGACCTAGGGTGAATCCATGCTTTTAATCACTAGACTATACTGTTTCTCATGGAAGGGAATATATGATGGAAATATACTCAGAGAGAAAACTGATAGGTCAGTGGAAATGAATACAGTTTCTTCAAAGGTTACTTCTTCAAAGGAAATACATTAACTTCAAAGGTACAATGTTTATATCAAAAATCTCAGACTTGAATCATATAACACTCAAGTACTTAAAACATTTAGTAAAGAAAACAAAAATCTTTGGAATAAACTAACATTTCTGAGGGAACTTCTGAGTCCTTATACATGAAATTCACTGTGAACATACAGATGAGACCTGTCCCCACTTAGAACGGGGGGAAAACTCACCGACGATGATGATGATGATGATGACCACGACACTGATCCCTATGGCCCACATCTGGAATGAAACATACGTCCATTTTACATTCCAAAAATAAAGATGAATGTGCTTACTGAAGAGTATCATACAATACCATTCTAGTCACTGAAAGACATTAAGGTACACTACAATCTGAAATAATTCATGATTTTTAAAGCCTAACTTTAATGTTCTCAACTAGGGCCTGAAAGTTACTTATCTGCTTTTTCTAAGATGTTCAAATGATCTGTGGTCCCTAAAGAAGGGCTACTAAGCTCGTCCCCTGTATCGGGAAGTGTCACTTCTACACCAGGAAGGGGCAGGATATATCTGGGATCTGATCACAGTGCATCTCTTTGGTGGCTGTATAAAATCTGCTTTGAGCCATGCTCCTCGTGTGGCTGCTTTCTGCTCTTCTGTGGAGCAGACTGTGGCTTTCGAGCAGCTCTTTCGTTTGACACTGGTGCCATTCACAGAACACACGTAAACTGACCAATTCCAGCCCTCTCCTGTCAATCTGTGTTTGGGCTCCTCGGGGGGTGGAGGGCTGGAAGGGGCTTATGTCTGATTGGTTTTTGACACTCCTGTTCTACACGGTTCTTAAGGTCAGCCACAGATCATGGAGAATTCCTAGTCATGGGGACAGGAAAAGGGTATGCAGTCAGTGTTTTAGATTCAGAGTCAATCCAAATTTCCATGTGTGGGAACTCAAACTCACCTCCAAGATTCATCGAAGTCCATTATTTGTAGCCTTTGTCAACCCTCTGAGAATACAGAGGGTGACTTAATGTAAAGACCAGTTAAAAGAGAATTACCTTGCAATTCTTCCACCAATATTTTCTCTTCAACTTGGCAGCACTTGTTTCAAATTGGGAAGCTCCTGCCTGCAGTGCGTCTGCACGGTCATCTAACTCAGAGAGCTTCTGATCTCTTTCCAGGACCTTATCCACATTGACTCTCATGATGTCCACCACCTGAATGAATATGATCACACCAAGTTACTCATAAAGGAATGGAAGAACAAAAATTCTCAATGAACTTCCCACTGGCACATTTTTTTTCAGGTCATCACTTTATTACTTTGAGCCAAACTTTCGTTAAAAAAGGGGGAGCGGGGCTCACCCTTTTATGATAAAAACACTCAGCAAACTAGCAATAGAAGGGAACCTCCTTAACATGATAAAGGGCATTTATGGAAAAACCCACAACTAACATCCATGCTCAATGGTGAAAAACAGAAAGCTTTTCCCCTAACACTGGGAACAAGATAAGGATGCCTACTTTCACTACTGCTGTTCAACACTGTACTGGAATTTCTGGCCAGAGCAATTAGGCAAGAAAAAGAAATAAAGGGCATCCAAATTGGAAAGGAAGAAATAAAATGATCTCTTTTTGCAGATGACACAATATATAGAAAATCCCAAAGAATCCACACAAAAACCTACTAGAGTTAATAAACAATATCAGTAGCATCTCAGGGTACAAGAGCAACACCCATAAATCAGTATGTTTCCATATACTAGTGAAGAAAAGAAAATTAAGAAAACAATTCCATATATAATAGCATCCAAAAGAAAATACATAAGGATAAACTGAACCAAGGAGGCAGAAGACTTGCACACTGAAAACTATACAACACCGCTGAAGAAAGACTACATCCCATGTTCACAGACTGGAAGACTTAATATTGTTAAGACGGCAGTACTCCCCAAAGTGATGTACTTATGTGCAGAGTCAACACAATCTCTATCAAAATTCCAATTGCCTTAGTTTTTTTCTCTGCAGAAATGGAAAAGCCAATCCTCAAATTCACATGGAATTGCAAGGGGCCCCAGATAGCCAAAACAATATTGAAAAAGAAAAACGAAATTGGAAGACTCACACTTTTCAATTCCAAAACTTACTACAAAGCTACAATAATCAAAATACTGTGGTTCTGGCATAAGGATAAACATATAAACCAATGGAATAGAATTGAGAGTCCAGAAATCAACCCAAATATCTACGGCCAATTGATTTCTGACAAGGGTGCCAATACATTCAATGGGGGACAGCTGTATAGCCACATACAAAAGAACACAGTTGGATCCCTATCTTACCCCAAATACAAAATTTATTCAAAATGGATCAATGACCTACATATAGGAGCTAAAACTATAAAACTCTTAGAAGAGAACATAAGAGTAAATCTGCGTAACTTCGGATTTGGTCATGGATTTGACACCAAAAGCAAGAGCAACAAGAGAAAAATAGATAAACTGGACTTTATAAAAATTAAAGCCTTTTGTGCATCAGAAGACATTATCAAGGATATGAAAAGACAGTTCACAGAACGGAAGAAAATATTTGCAAATCATGTATCTGAAAAGGATTTAATATCTAGACTATATAAAGAACTCTTACACTCAACAACAAAAAGAGAAACTACCCAATTAAAACACGGGCAGTGGACTTGAACAGACGTTTCTCCAAAGCATACATACAAATGGCCAAAAAGCACACGAAAAGATATTTAACATCACTGGTCATTAAGGAAATGCAAATCAAAACCATAATCTGGGATACTACTTCATAATCACTAGGATGGCTACAACCAAAAAAATGGAAAATAACAAGTGTTGGTGAGAGAAATAGGAACCTTTGAACACTGCTGGTGGGAAAATAAAATGGTATAGCCACTGTGGAAACGTATGGAGGTTCCTCAAAAAGTTAAACATAGAATTACCATGTGACCCAGCAATTCTACTAGATACCTACCCAAGAGAAATGAAAACATACGTCCACACAGAAACTTGTATGCAAATGTTGATAGCATTATTCATAATAGCCAAAAAGTGGAAACAACTAAAAAATCCATCAACAGATGAATGGATAAACAATTAAAAGTCTACACATGCAATGGAATACTGCTCAGCCATAAAAACGAGGCACTGATAGATGCTACAACTTGGATGAACATGGAAAACATTATGCTAAGTGAAAGAAGCTAGACACAAGTCACATATTGTATGATCTTTTATATTATATATCCAGAATAGGCAAATCCATAGAAACAGAAAGCTGATTAGAGGTTACCAGAGGATGGAAGAAAGGGGGAATACAGAGTGATTACTAAATGCTTATAGGGTGTTCTTCTGGAGTCATGAAAAAATTGTGAAAATAGACAGAAGTAATGGTTGCACAACATTGTGAATATAGCAAACACCACTGAACTGTACACTTTAAAATGGTTAATTGTATGTTGTGAATTTCACCTTGATTAAAAAAAAAAATCTCTTTAAAATTCCTTTGGTTAAGAAAAAGGACCCAATTTGATTTTGTAAGTAAACAAAAGTTTTATGCAGGATGGAATTAGAATGGGTTTCTTACCATAAAAATATAAAATTTTCAGAATTAAGTTCATAACAAAACCATCAGACCAAAATATTACCACATGATTTAAAAAGGGAATCTAACATAAGTTTAACTCAGCTTTTCAAGGTAGCTAAACGCAGAAAGACCAAGATAGCCTTGTTGCACGGTGACTGCTTTTAGGACTATGGAAATACGTCTGAATTTCTCAAACGATCTTCCCTTGTGGGTCTGCATACATAGGGCAGAACAAAAGAACCTGTGAAGGTCCTCTAACTCAAGAATTCCACAAATATCGATCTGTTGGGCTACAGCAGTTTGCCAGCACCTGCCTTCTCTATGTCGGTGGGCAGCCATCAGGGGTGAATTCCACAGAGGCTTGCTCAGGCTGGGTAACTAGTAAGTCAGGCTATTGGAAAAGAATTTCATGAAAAATCTGGTCAGAAGGTTTGGTCCTGGCAATCTATAGGCCTAATCCTTAAAATTCCATTACCCTATTTTGTAAAGTGGTTCTTTTTTCTTTTCCATTTTTTTTTTTTTTTATTGTGGCAAAATACACATTATAGAGTGGTTCTTGGGGGGATGTTCTCTGGGAGGAGTGTTTGTGTTTTAGGTATGTGATTCGGTCACAGGAAAACAAGCATGAAACAAGGAGAATCTGACTTCTCAAAAGCTTCGATCAGGGCTTTCAGAACAGAAGGGAAGAAGTTTTTGTTACATTTATGATACAGTCAAAATTTACTTTAGATTCACACTTTTATGATACTTTTTCAAAAAATAATTATTTCCAGAGTGTTCCCATGTTGGTTTAAAATTCATGTCTTCAACATTTCAGAGATATACCTCATCCACTTGATTTTGCGTCTGCTGAAGTCTTCGACTGCTGCCAGAGGCAGCGCTTGAACCTGCAGGCGCACCTGTAGACCTGAAATACGTAAAGGCGTGGGTAAATTATGATTCCAAATACATTTTTGTAAGTATGAAGATGTTATTCCAGGACCCTCAGTGTTAGGAATTTCAGAACTAAAGGAGAAAAAGAAATCTTTCCTGCAGTATGAACGAAGGTTCTAATGATATTTCTTCTGATTTCTCTATAATTTCCAAGATTCACCCACATCTTAAAAGTGACCAGGGTCTAAAGTGAAGGTTGAACAGGATCTACTTTGCACCACTGAAGCACCTGATCCTAAGATAGGTAAACTCTACTTTCCAATGTTTTATTACTTGTTCTAAGGCATACATCTACTTAAATGCACTCAGTACTTTTCTGATCTTTTCATTGTGGCAAGCATTGTTTTCATAGTTATGAACAATTATAGAATGCCCTTTTTCTAGTACAGAGAAATAGATTCATTTACAGAAACAAGGTCAGCAGCTCCAGGATGGGGGTTGGGGGTGGAAAAGGTGAGATGAAGCAGTGCTGCCTCTCTTAAAAGGAGCTCCTCTTTTAAAATCCTCACTGAATGCTCTGCTTCTCCCCAGGCAGATCTTTCTTAACCACTCTGGCTGTGAAGTCCTTATTGCTTCCATTACTTGGTTGGCAATGCTTTGATTTTTCAGATATATAGATAACATCTTGCCTTCCCTAACAGATCACAGACTCCTGTGTCTTAGACGTCTCTTCCTTGTATCCAAGACAGCATCTAGCATGTGTCTTGCATACAACAGCCACTGACTCACTGATTCAGCAGACACTTTTATACCTATCACGTGTCAAAGACCAGGGATGCAGCAGATCCCATCCCTGCCCTCACAGTTTGTCTGACAGATAATAGCGAAGGACCATGTACTGGTGCATTTCCTCCCAGCGTTTTCTCATTTAATCCTGGTAACTCTTTGAGGAAGATACTACTATTAACCCCTTTTTATAGATGAGTAAAGTGAGGTTTACATAGTCAACATGCCGTGGAGCCTGTATTTAGACCAGGCTCCTGTATAATTCCACGGATCTAGATCTTAACCACTGGGATCACTGGCATAGCAGCGTCAGCAAGAACACTCTAGAATGATGCCCCTAGTTCCTAGAAGGAACCCGGGGAAAGCATCCAGTCCTTTCTCCTCTGTAGGTAAGCAATGAGGCGGTTAGAAGGGTGACAGAGGTTCCTTGTGATTCTTGGCAGTTAGCATTCTCTGGATATTACCACGGGAAACTCCACGTTTTCAAGGGCCACTGCAAGAGTGCTTCTGCTTAAAAAGAGAGAAGGCCCACAGCTATGCTCCTGAGTCCAACCTGACCGCAGGTGCCTCAACACAGGGCCCAGGTCCTTCCCTTGCAACTTCCGGCGCCCAGCCCAGCATCAGGCAGCGAGCAGGCGTTCCAGGACGAAAGCAGGCGCCGCCACTCCTCTGAGTGATCTTGTGGGGAGGGAGGGGAGGGACACGGGCGGGGAGGGGGGAGTCCTCCACCCCCGGGAAGCCCCCGGCCGCCCCCCCCCGCCCCTTCCTCGTCCGTCCG